TAGGGAATTTAGACCAATACCCACATGATGCTTGTGCAATGGCTTCCCAGGAGGCCACTGCCTGGACCTCGATTAGCATTGCTTCTTCCTGTGACTGTTTCAGTCACAAGCCGGACTAGCATCTTGTTTGCTATCCCACACGCACTTCAGACGTGTGTGATGCTACAGTACAAGCACTACTCTGTTACTCCCTCAACCCTATAAATCCTCTAAAACCTAAACCCTACACCGTTACACCCTAAAAACCCTCAATCCTGGAGACGCTAAATCCTACAAACCTTATAAACTGAAAACCCTAGAAAAAGGCTGAACATCTGCCAGGAACCCTGAGAACCTGGCAATGGATTTCTGATGGGCCGGTGCCGCGCTCACCTGGCTTCACATTGAAATCAAGGTTTAGGGTTTGCCCGAATTGGTGGGGTCCCTTTGGGGTTCCACACAAGCATATAGGTGGGATCTCGGGAGCATTTCTGGAGCGTGTGTGCATTGATCAACATATCGATGCAGGCCATGGACATTTACGCAAAATCTATGAGAATCAAGAAACCTATCAGCACCCGATGAGATTGACTGGGAGTTTGCCTGGAACTCAATCAATGTTCACGCCTAAGGTTAAATGAAATTGTAGACTGGAACCAGTTCAAAGCATAACCTTGCCTAAGATTGTGATCCAGGATGTATTGGGGCTAACTTCAGCTCCATGCACTGAAAGCGCAAAGAGCCCAGAATCCCAAACTGAGAGTGTGCCATGTTCGGCTACTGTACCATCAATCGCGCTTATCCTTAAACAAGGCCCCCGACCTTCCCTTCATGTATTGATCTCTGCTCATCCTGTGCATTGTAAGCACTTTGACCCCTTTACTCCATATCCTAAGCCCCGAGCTCGTCGGGCTCGCATCTGCTGCATGACCTTCAGCACGGAGGCGCTCATGTCGGCCTGAACAGCTCCAGCTTGAAACCCTGCGGCCCTCCAGCAGAAGCAAAAATGGAAAAATGCAACAGGCGAGAAACGGTAAGTGTGAAGCCACTAGCCATGCAAATGTGCATAGTCGGCAACCAGCTTCGTACCAGCCAAATGGTTGCTCTGATCAGTACTAGCATCGCCCTTCCTACTTACTGGCGACACTCTAGCCTACCCTTTGGGATGTCACTAGAACAACTTCACTTACCATCATACCAGCAAGGGTGCTGGCAGGGTTCCCTCCGTCGGCCTTGGTGGCAGCCTCGAGAACCTGATCAGGCTTCAGCCCCCCAACCTTCAACATGCAGACACCCCCATAATGTGACGGTCATTCTGGAGAAAATCCGAGGTTAGGGGAAGAAACATGAGCAAAGACAGGGCGTCATGGCCGCTCGCTGTATTCGCTGAAGGCATCCGGGTATACTATAACCATATGCCTGGGTCCTCTGGGGCTGGGGCATTATTGTACAGTGTGGCTTTCAAGTTGGCGTCCAGACCTTAGGCAGGCATCCAAGCCCAAAGGGCTTTGGCTTTGTGAGAGTCTCTGCACGCATCTGTCATGTTTTCAGGCCCAGGAGAGCAATCAATTCTACAACGTGCTCTGCCTTGAACATAAACCCCAAGCCGCAATGCTGGGAGGCGCCGGCAGTCGTTGGCTTCATCCAGCAATGCAATGGCCCTTCCCACAGTCTCCTGTCAGAAGCCCGAACCGTTCCAAGCCAACAATGATGGAGACTGGGATACTCCATGGAGCTTGCACGTTCTGAGGCAGCCCCAGCAAGATCCTGCTCTACTGGGCATCTCCATCCACTGACAGATTGCAAACAAGCAAAAGGACAACTTCTGAAGAGCGAAGAGCAGACTTTCGATTGGCAGTTTTGAAGCTTACCAGGATTGACTAAGCCCCAAACCCTAACCTAATATATCCCCTATATAACCCTATATACTATAGTGGTTGCCACTTTCTTTTTCATTATCCCTATACGACCCCAAAATAGCTGCTGTCCAAGAGGGAGCCAAGTCAGCCTTCTAGGGCGTACTCTGCCCGTTTTCCTGAAGCTGAGAACCTATTTTGCGGATAATGGAAAAGAAAACGGAAACTACTATAATGGGTTCTATAGGGGTTATAATATAGGGGTCATATAGGGGTCTTATAGGGGTTGTGTAGGGGTATATAATTTTAATGGACATCTGACAGAGACGGTTTTGCTGTTTGTCATTGTTGAAACTGTACCTGTTGTGCTGTAGTCGACGTCGATACTACGAACACTGCTAACAGAGTTACGCTTAATGCACGCTGAGTGATCATCACTATCAGTGTCATGATCTGCTGGCCTCCTTGGTGGAGACACCAGCCTTGCAAAAGGCCTTCACCTCAGGCGACATGGAATCACAATGAACGTGGGCTTCCACCACCACCATCACCACCAGTACCGCCACCAGCACCACCAGCACCACCAACAACAACCTCTGATTTGCACGACTTGGGGAGGCTGCAGTGTCAGATACATCTCTAGGTCTAGCCCATGCCCTTCTACACTTTTGGGCCCTGTTTCTTGGTAAACTTCTACCGGAACCCCATTTTGAGGCGGCCGGCCAGGATAGAACAAGTGAACTTGTCGGGCTTGTAGCCATGCTCCCTCATCTCCTCCACAGAAGCGGAACTGGCCATAGCGCTACCCTCGGGGGTATAGATTTAGGAGATTGCGAGGGAACTGAGCAAGCGCTCACCATGTGGGCATGCGGGACCTGTCCAGGTTGTGAGGAAATTCACTTGCACGTGGACAGCTACTGCTCGCTTGAGCACCCGCCCGTAAGCCTTTGTGTAACGCCTTTGTCTGACACGGAGGACCTAACCCTCCACATTTCTGAGGGCCTGCTGCCGCGTCCAAGCTTCTTCGGGACGCCCGGCTCGCACAGCTGCATCCATTATCTTGGTGTTTGAGCGAATGAAGGCAGAGGTCTTCCTGTTGTACTTCAAAGCAAAAATGGACCTGAGAACCTCGTCTTGCCACAGCCGCGAAGTCTTCAGGAGCCGGCAGTGTTGAAGCTGATCGCATTGGGGAAGATCCTGTGTGCCTTCATTCTCTCCAGCACCTGCGCAAGAACTTTCTCTTGAGTCATCTGGGATAACAACAACAAGTAGGAAGAAGACCACATTGTCTCCTCCATGGCGATAGCAAAATCACAACAAGGTCCCTCTGTACTTGCGTAGGAAACCTTCTATGCTGATAAGAAAATGCTACATTCAAGAGCACTAGCCCGCACCAACACATCGTGCAAAACCCGAAAGTATTCCAAGCACAGAAACAGACCCGCAGTTTGGGCGCACGCTACTACAATGTTCCATATTATAAGGATGATCAGATGGTGAACACATCAAACTTTCCAAACTACCCGGGCCGCTACAAAGACGCAAGTCAAAGAGTCCGAGCAAAGCCTCGCATGCTGCATCATAGTTGGCCCGCTGAGTGAAAGCCTTGATGAGGGTGTTGTAGGAAACGACCTGAGGAAGTGGCTACAATGAAGAAGGCCTTAGGCCCTTCTTCTTGGTCCTACTAGGAAGTATAGCATAGCTTGTAAAAAAGCACCTGCTACCACAAGTCCTCTCCTGGTCTCCGGCATCTGCAACCGCAGGCTTCAGCTTCTCGGCCTAGTTCCAAGTTTTACAGTTGGGTCTCGGGCCCACAATGGTGTAGAGCCTAGGCATAGGGCAGAAGGTGAGTTGAGAGGGTAGGATCTGACGCGTAAGATTTAAGATTTCGGTCTTGTGGTTTGTTTAGAGGCTTGAAACGGCTACGTGCATAGACTCTGGATCACATGGATCATACAAAGAGTCGATAGGGCTTACTGCATACAGACATGATGTACCGCATCGGTATTACGTGACATTCTCTGAAGACCATGGGCGTAGCATGTGGGGATTGTGTTCGTGCCGAATTCCTACTGAGAACGAAGGATGAGGGGGTCCCGTTCAGGTTCACCTGAAGTGCTGTTCTTGCTTGATCTGCTAAAGGTTTAGGGTTTAGGGCTACAGATCCTGTCGCGGACTTTCCCTCTGAGATTACAAGCTTCTTGCAATGTCTGAAGCGAGCATGCGACAAACTCCCATCTAGGGCATAGTCTAAACTCCTAGTATGCCCCTTAATCACCCGTATAGTAGTCCCCTGTAATCCCCTGTATAACCCCCCTAAAGGGGTTTGAATTTTTGCTCATATGAGGAATATGTGACACAAAAGGATGGAATGTCCATAGAATGGCTAAGGACATCTGAGGAGCAAAACCCGATCATGCAAAAGCATGCGAGCTGTAGTCTAAACTCCTTAAAGGGTGTTTAAAGGGATTATATAGCGGAGTGCTAAAAGGGGTTATGAAGGGGGATACTAGGAGCTTAGACGATGGTACCCTTTGACGAAGCAAGTGACTCTCTAAATCATGCACCACTTTGCCGGAGCCTCGTACTCAGGTCCCATGAACCGAAATGAATTGGGGATACGGACACATCCCATGCACCGATGCAAAAGACCCTACAGCCCCAGTGCGTCCGGTATGTTACGATCTCCCAGGTTGAGTTGTCAAATCAATGGTGCCTGTTGTGGGAAATTCGTGAAGGATCATCATTTTGACAGCCACCCATATATGATCCGCCCATCCAGAAGAAAGCGCCCAGGCTTCTGGGGTCGAGCCTCAGTCAGAAGGTCGAGGACTTCGTCCACCTGTTGGTGCTAGTAACTAGTAAACATAAGAGCTTCTCAATACCTTTCCACGACCGGTCCCACATAAAATGGAAAGCAAACAGCGTCCCATCATAGTCCCGACTCCCAGCAATGTTAGGATCGCTGGAATGAAACCACGAGAACGTAATCCCTCTGTTGATAAGCTGTGGGTGATCTCTTTCTTCCCCTTTACAAGTTATAAGAACAGCCGTATCCTTCCGTGACACAAAGTATCAACATATAACACTGAGTAGCATTTGAGCGTCGGCTTTTATTTATCACCTGGGCCTTATGCGGCAGTTTTAATCGATGGCCCCTCATCTCGTTCGCCTTATACTTAATCTTTTATGGTACCTTGACAACATCACCTGATCTCGTTCGCCATGTTGGCACATGTACTGGGCTCTTATTGCGAAAGAAGCTGTGGCTTATCTCGTTCAATCCAAGGCCCCTGTCTTGTTCCCAGAGGAATGCTGAACCCAGATGCCATTGGGTGGGTTGAAATGTTCAAGACAAGGGAGCGATTCGCGACACAGCCTTGTCGGCGGCCACCCCCGTGGAGAGCGCGACATTCAGCGCCAGGCTGTCCACAGAGACGCCTGCTTTAGCTGACCATTTTGCTCAACGCGAGGTGCTCAGTGTTCTTGACATCACACATGGCAAAGCCACATCCAAGTAACTATACTACACCCCAAACCGTGTGCTCAATTTTGATAAGTAGGACCCCATAACTATCATGTGACTATAATGAGGTCCTAATCTAGGCCTTCCACTTCCCACAGGATGAGATTTCTCGGGGCTGCACATTGGCAATTGGCACTGCACGCCAAACTTTTCTCTGGAGTCCCCGAGTTGAGTGGGTCCACCCATGAAGATTAACTACAAGGCATACCCGCGATTTGTATGGAGTTCTCAAAGCTTCCGAAACCTTCGTGACCTCACACCAGCTGCGGGACACTACACCCTAAACCCCTAAACCCCAAATCCCCAAAAACTTAACGTCTTCAAGATTATATAGCCCCTATATAACCCATTGTAATAGCTTCCATCTTCTTTTCCATTATCCCCTATGTAACCCCTAAAGCTTACACCCTAAACAACCTGTAAACCCCTGAACCCTGAAAGGGACTGCGCCTCGGTTCCTCATGTCTCGGACGGTTGCCAGAGCACTGGGCCTCGCAAAAAAATCAGAAAAAATTGGACGCTTGACTGGGTTTCTTGAGGATTTCTTTTGTGGTCATATGAGGATTCTACGGTGTTATATAGGATTGTACCGGCTTTCATGATTGTATGGCGTTTTATAGGGGCTATATCGGATTTGCGCCCAGGGAGGGACGAAAGCTTCGAAGCGGGTGACAGGATTCGAGCGCATGAGCACAGGCGGCAGGGTGGAGACCCGGTGCGGCCGCAGTTGGATATCCCAGACTCTGCCAAAATACGCCACAACTCAGCAAAGAGGGCCTCCGCCATGAAAATGCCACATGATTGCCCCCGGCCGATCATCAGCAGCATCAGAAGGCATCCGTTTCACTGCCCAGAAGCGGTCCCAACCGACCCTCCTGACTGGCTGGTTTTGGAAAACACCAGAGGCAACCCCCCCGAACCGCCTCCCTCGGTGGGAGAACGCAGCCGAATTTGACCACATTTTCGGGTTCCCCCTCCCCCCACCCCTCTAGCACAGACCAGCATAGTCGGGTTCAAGACGAAAGCTTCGGGAAGCTTTCGTAACTAAATAGGCTCATACAGGATTATATGGGGATTAAATAAGGTTATACGGGTGTGAATGGACATTTTATAGGGAAATATAAGCGTACAAAGGGTTATATGGATTTTACATCCCACAATATAGGGATGTATTGGGACATTACCCCAATGCGCAGGGGTGATGGAAAACGAAATGAAAACTACTATTTAGGGTTTAGGATTATAAGGGAATATACCACCGATAACGGAGAATCAAGTGGAAATGAAGTGGAAATCAAATGGAGAGTGGAAGCTGTCAAGGATGATTCCTCTACGTTACCCCCATTTCCATTATCAAGCTGGAAGCTTTTTTCACACAGAGGCTTCGCCGCTGGCAACTGTCGCTGCATTCTGCTGCTTTCGTCGTGCGACTTCTCGACCAGCTCTGGCCCTTCCAGCAAGTACTTGGTCGATGCAGCGCGACAGTTGGAATGGACAGTGCAGGACATCAACACTTCGCGAACTGAAATGGTCCGTGTCGCTGCACCAAGAATCCTGTCTGCCTTGACGTCTACCCTCCTTCCTCCACGTCAGTGGACTAGGGCAGGGGAAGCGGCCTCTCACTTGAAGGTGGTTCTGGGCAATGTTTCGTTTCCTCGCCCTGCCTGCCAGTTCTAAATTATCCAGCCCCAGGCTTTCAAACGGCAGCTGCAAGTGCGCACCATATACCGCCTCGCAAGTGGGCTGCAATATCCGCTGCAGAACAGTAATCCAAACGGCCCAGAACTTGTCTCCATTGACGGTCACTTTGAGATCACCAATGCTGAGCTCAGCAACCTTGCTGCTTGATAGACTCTCCTTTGGCAGAAGCTTCTGCCTGTCTGCAGCCAGCACTGGCCACTTAAATTTCTTTGCCATCTCTGGCTAGGGTTCTTTCAGCACCAAATTCACAGTAGCCATGTCAGAGTCATCACCACCAGGCCGCTTGCAGAACGCCTTAGTCATGGTGAAGACCAGCAAAGCCCAGCACCCGACGGGTGGAAACCTGCGCTTGCAGGCGACAGCATGCAGGTCAGAAAAAGGCATCTCACACTCAGTCGCGCGGTGGGTGGCGTGGACGTCCTCCGCGGAATATGTACGGGTCGTCCTGGTCGTTGTCCAGGTCGCGCTCGTCTGCTCTCTCGAGCTGCACTTGCTCCACCGTTGCTGTGCAGCAGCCAAACAACCAACAAAGCCAAAAATCCATTGTGAAAGCGCAAGAGGCGATGTCTGCTGGGATCCTACTTTACTTTTGAGCTCACAGGTCCATGCCAAGACAACAACGACATCGCTTCACCCAAATTCTTGTCTGCAAAACTGTCAAGATACCCGGCAATCCCACGCACAGCCTCCTTCCACAAGATCCTGGCGAACATCATCAAGCTACTATCCAATCCCCACAGGAGCCGATACAAATGCCCCTACCACCCAGAAGCACCGGGATTCTGATCAGGAGCTATGCCAGCTATGCTCAGGCTTGGCACCTAGTAAATGAAGAAAGAAATGCCTCCAATTCAGATCCCAATACACTATAATTCTGATTACGGGGACCTGCAAACAAGTACCCCGAATTTTGGGAAGCCTTAAACCCTAAAAGTCCCTGTATATCCGTGTATAGCCCTTCTAATCCCTTTAACCGGATCCCAAAATGGTAGCCCCGAATTTCCCAAAATCAGTGGGTACCATGCATCAATCCCTAAACCCTAACCCTAAACCACCCTAAAC